AACCCCCCCCAAGCCCCCCCGGACCCCCCAAACCTTGTCGGGGGGGGCCACGATGTGCCAGGAGCAGCTGATCCCGGGGGGATAATTCTCCTCTGGCCAATTTGGGGTGTTCAGGCTTCCCTGGGGCTTCTCCAGCCGCCCCCCACAAAACTGGTGCTCTGGGGGGGGGTCAGGGGGGTCACATTTTGGGGGCAAACACATGCTGGGACCCCCCCTCCCCCCCCTTCCTGCACCGCCGGCGACTCCTCTGTCCCTGAGACCCCCAAAATGAGGCCTTGGAGGGGGGAACTGGGGGGGGGGGGCTCTGCCAAAACCACCCTGGGACTGGGGGGGGAGGGGGAATAGACTTTTGGGGTGCAAGACCCCCCCCGGGAATGTTTTTGTAAGTCTGGGGGGGGTCATACTCACCATCAAAATAGTGCCAGGACTCCCCGAAAAAATGGGGTTTATTAGAGACCCCCGAGCGCCGCCGTCCCTGGGGGGGCCCTGCAAAAGGGTTGGGCTGGGTTGGGGGGGGCCCTGCAGGGTGTCCGGGGAGGGTCCGTGTGGTTTTGGGGGGTCTCCACGGGGGTTTTCAGGGGCTCCATGAGGGTTTGGGGGGGCTCCGTGTGATTTTTGGGGTCTCCACGTGGTGTGATGAGTGTCTGGGGGGTTTGGGGTTCTCCCCGGGGGTCTGGGTGGGTTTGGGGGTGTCTCGGGGTGTCCCTGCTCTCTGCCGGCGGCTCCCCCTGCCCCCCTTTCCCCCTCAGCTTTTCCCTCCATTTTGGGCCACGTTTCCCTTCGTGTTTTCCTGCCACATCCCCCCATTCCCCTCTCACACTTCCCCCCTCTTTCACCCATTTCCCCCTCAGTTTTCCCCTCCTTTTCCTCTCAGGATTTTTCCCCATTTTCCCTCCTTTCTCCCGTCACACTTTTCCCCTGATTTCCCCGTTTTTCTTCTCATACTCTTCCCCACTTTCCCTCAATTTTTCCCTCCTTTACCCTCCCACTTTTACCCTCCCACTTTTCCCTCTCAGATTTTCCCCTCACAGTTTTCCCTCTATTTTTCCTTTTCCCCCTCACACTTTTCCTGCCTTGTCCCCTCAGTTTTCCCTCCTTTTCTCCTCAGTTTTTCCCTCTTTATCCCCTCAGCTTTTCCCTCCTTTTTCTCTCAGGCTTTTTTTCCCTATTTCCCTCACCTTTCCCCCTCATTCTTTCCCTTTTCTCCTCACTCTTTCCCCATTTTCTCCTCCGCTTCTCAATTTCACATTTTTCCCCTCACTCTTTCTCCTCTTCCCCCCCTTTTTTCCTCACACTTTTCCTTCCCTTTCACACTTTTCACCCTCTTTTCCTCCCCTTTTCTCCCCATTTCCCTCCACAGCCCCCAGGACCCCCCTGGGGGGTGTTTTAGGGCTGTCCCTGCTCTCCACCAGTGTTTCTCACTTGGCTTTTGGGGGGCTCCATGAATTTTGGGGGTCTGCATGGGGGCTTGAGGGGTGTCCATGGAGGTTTGGGGGTCTCCATGTGTTTTTGGCAGCTCCATGGGGGATTTTGGGGGTCTCTGCAGGGGTTTGGGGTCTCCACGTGACTCTGGGGGGTCGCTGTAAGTTCTTGGGGTTCCCCACGTGTTTTTGGGGGTCTCCATCACGTGTTTTTTGGGGGTGTCCACGTGTTTTGGGATTGTCCCTGCTCTCCGCCGGCGGTGCTCCCCGCGCCCCCGAGGGGGGTCCCTCGCCCCCGGGTTTTGGGGGGCGCCCCAAAAGAGTCTCCCCCGGCTTTGGGGGGTGGTCTCTCACCGTTAGTTGGGGGGCTGCCGGCGCTGAACCAGGCCAGGAATCCCCTGCCGGCCGTGCCGCCGTCGCTCTCCATGCGCAGCCGCAGCCGGTTCTGGGGGGCCCGCAGAGCCCCCGGCCGGAACGTGCCGCAGAAACGCCCCAAGAGCGGCGCCCCCGGGCCGTGCCCCCCGAACACCGACAGCGAGTCGAAGCGGCACAGGGGGTCCGGCTCCAGGTCGAAGACACGGAAGGACAGAGTGGCCACCTGGCCCTCGGGGACCTGGGGGGACGTTACGGGGCCGGGGTGTCACCGGCTGGCCCTTGGGGACATGGGGGACACTGGGGGGTCAGGGTGTCACCGGCTGGCCCTTGGGGA